GCAACTTTTCTTCCTTGGGGTTCGTTGCCTCTCGTTTAGTTACCTCCCCTGCCAGCAGCAGGGGTAGATGTCATGTGACAAGGTGGATGCGGTTTAGTTTTTGGGCTTCATTTCCCGAGCACCGTCGATCTCTGGGCAAAATATAATTCCTGCCGGGGCACCACAGTGACTAGGAGATGTTAACTACCTCTCCTGGTGTACAGGAGGTCGTGGGTTCGATCCCGACCCTGACGCCTGCTGTATATTTGGGAGTTTGCGTGTCTCTCTCTGTGGTGAGATGTTAACTACCTCGCCTGATATGCAGGAGATCGTGGGTTCGATCCCGACCCTGACGCCTGCTGTATATTTGGGAGTTTGCGTGTCTCTCTCTGTGGTGAGATGTTAACTACCTCGCCTGATATGCAGGAGGTCGTGGGTTCGATCCCGACCCTGACGCCTGCTGTATATTTGGGAGTTTGCGTGTCTCTCTCTGTGGTGAGATGTTAACTACCTCGCCTGATATGCAGGAGGTCGTGGGTTCGATCCCGACCCTGACGCCTGCTGTATATTTGGGAGTTTGCGTGTCTCTCTCTGTGGTGAGATGTTAACTACCTCGCCTGATATGCAGGAGGTCGTGGGTTCGATCCCGACCCTGACGCCTGCTGTATATTTGGGAGTTTGCGTGTCTCTCTCTGTGGTGAGATGTTAACTACCTCGCCTGATATGCAGGAGGTCGTGGGTTCGATCCCAACCCTTACGCCTGCTGTATATTTGGGAGTTTGCGTGTCTCTCTCTGTGGTGAGATGTTAACTACCTCGCCTGGTATGCAGGAGGTCGTGGGTTCGATCCCGACCCTGACGCCTGCTGTATATTTGGGAGTTTGCGTGTCTCTCTCTGTGGTGAGATGTTAACTACCTCGCCTGATATGCAGGAGGTCGTGGGTTCGATCCCGACCCTGACGCCTGCTGTATATTTGGGAGTTTGCGTGTCTCTCTCTGTGGTGAGATGTTAACTACCTCGCCTGATATGCAGGAGGTCGTGGGTTCGATCCCGACCCTGACGCCTGCTGTATATTTGGGAGTTTGCGTGTGTCTCTCTGTGGTGAGATGTTAACTACCTCGCCTGATATGCAGGAGGTCGTGGGTTCGATCTCGACCCTGACGCCTGCTGTATATTTTGGAGTTTGCGTGTGTCTCTCTGTGGTGAGATGTTAACTACCTCGCCTGATATGCAGGAGGTCGTGGGTTCGATCCCGACCCTGACGCCTGCTGTATATTTGGGAGTTTGCGTGTCTCTCTCTGTGGTGAGATGTTAACTACCTCGCCTGATATGCAGGAGGTCGTGGGTTCGATCCCGACCCTGACGCCTGCTGTATATTTGGGAGTGTGCGTGTCTCTCTCTGTGGTGAGATGTTAACTACCTCGCCTGATATGCAGGAGGTCGTGGGTTCGATCCCGACCCTGACGCCTGCTGCTGTATATTTGGGAGTTTGCGTGTCTCCTTTCCCTGTGTGGTCGTGTGGATTTGTCTCCTGGTCCTCCGGTTTTTCCCTCCACATTTTAACTCTCTCGCTTAATGTCCGTGATGCAGTCATTTTTAGTCCGTTGATGGTCGGCGATGCGGAAATTGACTCATCTCGACGAGCTGTACACGATGCACTATTCAAAGTTGAAATTCTCCTGTAAAACTGTAAAATGATGGGTGCTTCATTGATCGGGAGCTAAGCCAGAACCGCTGGGATATAGGTTTTAATCTAGGTTTACTCTCACTTGTAACTTTACTGGGTTCTCAAGTGCATTTGATGGTCCTACGCCCAGTCACCAATTACTATGTATAAGAAATTTCATTTTAAAATGTTTAATTTAATTTGGCTGAATAGCAGATCTGTCATGGCTGCACACGCACCTAATGCACACAACACATTAATTTGGTTTTAACCTTACTTTGGCTATATTCCAGCATTGAAAGGTTTAAATATCGGTTTGACTTTCATGGGAAAAAATCATCGCAGGGTGCATGGGGGGAGAGTTCGACCACGAGTTTGTGAGACGTCCTGCATAAAAGAATAATAACAATTCTACTGTGAGACTTCCAAATGGCTTCTTCATAGAACAAAATATTTTTTGATTTGTCCAATTTCACACGCGCAGTTTATAGGCAAACGGGCAGCGAGCCTCGCTCATCTTTCAAAGGGCATTTAGCGACACTCTTGCAACACGGTAGCCCACAGTACACCCGAAACAAAATCGCTATCCTCAGGGGTGGTAACGATTCACTCTTTCACTCCCCAAAAAAAAGTGTCCCAGAAATAAAATTTGTAATTGCCTCGGCCATTTTGTATTATTTGGTTACCCCAGGGTACCGCCATAAGGATCGTTTAGAATCGGCATCGCGCGTTTTAAGAGTTATTTGCCCGCTGTACATTTCCCAATGGTAGTTTGAAGTCGAAATGCTTTCTGCCGTAATAGAAAGAAAAAAAAAAAGGATGAAAGTAAAACTTGGGGCGATGCCACTGCCTGGAGCGACGAATGGAGAGCCGTCAAGGTGCCAAACAGGGGACCCTCCCATGAGCGATCCATACGTCCAAGATGCCGCTCAGCGACCTCCCAACACGCCAATGGGCGCAGTTAAACCGCTTCCGGTGTGACCACAGGGGAAGTGTGTTGCCGTTTCGGAATATCGATGAGGGGCGGGGGGCCATGCTACGTGGCAGCCCGCGATTGTGTGATCACAGGTGAGCCAGGAGACCGTGGTGGCACACCACCGTCTGCGGCTGTGCAGTGCTTCAGGGCGTGCCGGCCAGTACTGGTTCTTGTTGCCTTGCACGTGCTGGAGGATGAGGCCTGCAAAGTGGCTCTGCGTGGTGATGTGGGGCTGACGTCCACTCAAAGGACATTAAAAAAAATCTATGTAGTATATATACTCTTTGGTTCTCTCGGTAAAGTCGCGTAAAAAGAAAATAAATTAGATAATAGAAACGACGTTTCGATTGCAGCACAAGCAACCGTCATCGGGTAGAACTAAATTTGAGAGAGAGACAAAACGCAGACACACAAGCAGAGAGAGACAACAGACACACAGAGACACAGAGACACACAACATAGACACAGAGACACGCAACATAGTCACGAAAGCTTCAAATCTACATATTTATTTTGTAAATGTATCTGGTGTTTTGACTGTGGGAAGCTGCATGGAACTAGCAGTCGCTACGTAAAAAAACTGAATTAGGTTATAATAACATTGAGTAATAATAACATTGAGTTGAGTTTTTTGTACAGCAGCGTCATTTGTGCAGCTGTATCGGACAGCACTGTGGAATCTGCCTAAAAGCGGCGCGTGCACATTTAGCGATTTTCCTCCAATGAGCGATGAGTTGCGTTTTTAATCTACGTGCGGGAGGAAACCAGAGCACACGGGAGACAACCCCAACGTGTGTGCAAGGGAACGGCACTCTCATACCGATGGGACAAATGATAACTGGTCGGCACTCAGCCGGACCGCATTCTCCTGGCGAGCCCAGCATTATTGCACCGTCCGTGACACGCGTGCAAAGCCCAAGGGCGTTTCGCAGAATCTACCTGCGATCCACCGACCCCTCGCTGCTGCCTGGGCGGTGCTGGAATGGAGGTAGTCACGTGCAGCGGCGTAGACGCCGCCGCCGCCGCCACCGCCCCCCCCCCCCGCCCTGGACTAACACAAAACGCATTCGTGAGTTTTGAGCATGTTTTTGTAAACGTGCGAAAATGAGTGTACGGTTCACGCTGCAAATATTCCGGCTGTGCCAGAGACGCCCGCCGATTTCCTCCCGTGAGCAGAGGCCCCCCGAGCGTGCCCATCCGCCCTCCGTTCCAGTCACTGCCGATTTTTCAAAGGGCAGTAGACCTCGAGTAATGCACGCACAACAGGCCGCCAAAGCCCTTTCGATCAAGGGAGCTTTACGTTCCGTCTGGGTGAAGTGTAGCGGACATTCCGCCGTGCCGGGCGCGTTTGACGGCAGGACCGTGGGAATCGTTGTTGTCTGGCTCTCGGGAGCCGTGGCGAACCAAGGCAGAGCCCCGGCACGGACCCCTGGGGAGCGAGGTGACGTGTGACCGCAGGGCTCTCCCGGTGAGACGGGAAGTCTCCCTTTGCTTGTGGTGACGTCGCGCGAGTTGGGGGAGCGGGGGGGGGGGGCCCTCACGAGTCTCTGGGTGGCACCGGCGTTGGCGAGGTGTTAACTACCTCGCCTGGTGCACAGGAGGTCTTGGGTAGGATTCCAACCCTGACGCCTGCTGTATATTTGGAGTCTGCGTGTCTCTTTCTCTCATCATCATCACGGTGGCTGGGAGATGTTAACTACCTCGCCTGGTATGCAGGAGGTCGTGGGTTAGATCCCGACCCTGACAATGCCTGCTGTATATTTGGATTCTGCGTGTCTTTCTCTCTCATCATCATCATCACGGTAATGACATGTTAACTACCTCGCCTGGTATGCAGGAGGCCGTGGGTTAGATTCCTACCCTGACGATGCCTGCTGTATATTTGGAGTTTCCGCGTCTCTCTCTCTCTCTCATCATCACGGTGGCTGGGAGATGTTAACTACCTCGCCTGGTATGCAGGAGGCCGTGGGTTCGATCCCTACCCTGACAATGCCTGTTGCGTGGATTTTTCTCCGAGTCCTCCACTTTTTCCCCTCCACATTTAGAATCAACGTGCGTTCAGAGTCTTGGCTGCCGTACATTTACACGCGATAAGCCACTTTTGCCGAGCTATCATAGCGCGGTGGGCTTCACCTTTGTAAGATAAACACAGTTTATTTTTGTAAGTGATTTTGTTTACCTTTCTTTTCCTTTGCACTCCTATTGTGTGTTTTTTTTTGTATTGTTTGTTGTTCTAACGTTCTGACCTTGCCCTACCGGAATATCTGTAGAAAAAAGCTCACCGGATTCCTCCCGCGGTATAAATGAATATTCTGATCTGCGATCCAACAAGCCCCGCCGTTTGACCTCTCCGCGACCTCGTCTCTCCCCGCCGCGCAGCTTCCTTCCGACCGACGGCGCCGTCCCCAGACACCTCGCCGACCATGAGCGGCGCCATGCAGACCGTGGAGCGCTTCGCCCGCAGCCTGTCCCGCCGCAAATCCGGCGCCATGGACGCCGACGGCACGGAGGACTCTCAACTCTCCCGCTGCCTCACCACCCTGGACCTGGTGGTGCTCGGCGTAGGCAGCACGCTCGGCGCCGGCGTGTACGTGCTGGCCGGCGCCGTCGCCCGAGACGACGCGGGCCCGGCCATCGTCCTCTCCTTCCTGGTGGCGGCCGTGGCGTCGGTGCTCGCCGGGCTTTGCTACGCCGAGTTTGGGGCTCGCGTGCCCAAGACGGGCTCGGCGTACCTCTACAGCTACGTCGCCGTGGGGGAGCTGTGCGCGTTCGTCACCGGGTGGACGCTCATTCTCTCCTACGTGATCGGTGAGCTCGTCGGATCGCTTATCGGATTTCCACCCCCATCCCCTCCCCCCCCTTAGTTAGAACCCGGTGCAGAGCACGAACCGTGACATAGGAGGGATCGGGGGGAGGGGGAGGGGGGTACAGGAACTCCGCGGTGCCAAGTTCCGACCGCCGTGCTCCACGAGGTTTAGATGGAGGGAGGGAGATTGGGCTCGCTGCTGCTGCCGCCGCCCTTGTTGATCGGGAGCGCGAGCAGTGTGTGTGTGTGAACTTTTACGTGGGGGAGGGGAAGGTGAGGGAGAAGAAGAACTTGGTGAGGGAGGAGAGGTGAGAGCGGGGTGAAGAAGGGGGCGGAAGAGAGATGGGGCTTGTCATCAAAAGAAAGGTGACAGAATTATGATGATTTGGTTGGCAGGGCCGTGCAAGCTGTTAAGGAATGAGTGACCGCGATTAAAAGGTGCTTTGGGGATCACTAAACGTTTAGGTTGAGGACTGGAGGGGCGAGCGGGGGGTGGAGGGAAGAGGAAGAGAATGAGCAAATGGCAAAGAGGTGAGGATTTTTAGTGGTCAAGGATCATTCAGTAAACCTACCGGGTCTAAGCGATCGTAATCGGCGAGCTAAGCGCTCGTCCGCCAAGGTACAGTGTGATTTTGTTTTCGGGTGTCGGAGGGTTCTTAAATTAGTATTCAATATTCTTGCGTAGGGCACTTTGAACAAAAATAGCAACGGGGTGTTGCAATTGTATATCTAACATTGCAAGCCGTTGCACGGCAGCGTCCGGGACTCATAGCCGAGCGGGAGTGGGTCCGCTCGTCCCACCAGAATACAGCGTCGTTGTGCCGGCGGAGTGATCGGTGATGGTTCAGACCTCGCCGTCGTTCAGTCGACGCAGAAAATGTCCCCCCCCACACACCACCTTCTCCTTCCACGCGTCGCTGTCGTTGTTGTCGTTGTTGTCGTTGTTGTCGTTGTTGTCGTTGTTGTCGTTGTTGTCGTTGTTGTCGTTGTTGTCGTTGTGCCGCAGTTGAGAGCGGTCCCCCAATGTCGTCAAGGCGGCGGAGAGAACCCGGCTGTTCCTCCGTTGGGTCATCGGTACGGTTCTTGGTTTTTGGTGCTGCTCTCTCTCTCTCTCGGTTAGGTTTAAACGACGATTCTTCGTTTCTTGAAATTATTAAATTAGTTTTCTTCTCCCCCTTCCTTCCAGGAGCGTCCAGTGTCGCGCGGGCCTGGAGTGCCAACTTCGACGGGATTCTGGGGAATCCCATCTCTCACTTCTTAACGGAGCACATGTCCATGGGGCTGCCAGGCCTTGCCAAATACCCCGACATCTTCGCCGCCTTCATCATTATCATAATAACAGGTTCGTTTGCGGATTCCTTTTCTTTTGTTGCAGCGTGTGTTCATCGTGGGTTCCAGCGAACGCACGCGCGCGCGCGCTCGTTCGCTTTCAAGGCACGTCGGAAGCCGCTGGTGGACGCGGTGGGCTAAAGTAGTGAACTATTTTGTCTTTTGTCAACGTGACACATTTTTTACCGATTTGGCCGTGTCGGGTGGTGGAGGGTTGCGACACATTTATACATAACGCGATCTGACCCAAAAACCTTTATTATGAATAACACTGGTCGCGAAAGCCTACGTGTTAAAAAGACTGTAGGGACAAGTGGTTTTGGCGAGTAGCGCCTACAAAGTCCGGCACGGCACACGGGGGGGTTGGTGGCTAGCAACCGTGCCCGGGTACTCATTTGAAGGCCGAGTCGACCTAGGGGAGGCCCATGACCGGTTCGGACAATCGCCCACGGTCCCCATCGTGCGCCAGGGTGCCGCACGCAATGACCCTTCGCCCCTCTCCTTACTCCGTCGCGTGCGCAGGCGTGCTCTGCGTTGGCGTGCGCGAGTCGGCGCTCTTCAGCAAGATCTTCACGGCGATCAACGTCGTCGTGCTCTGCGCCGTGATGCTGGGCGGCGCCGTCAAGGGCAAGGCGGGGAACTGGGCCATCGAGCAGGAGGAGCTGGACAACTTCACGTCCAGCAGGCGAGTGACGCGATCACGAGCGATTTCTTTTTAAATGAACTTTTAAATGTTTTTAAACTAGGATGTCCAATGCCTCGGGGCTTGTCGGGAAGGCTGTAGGAGTGTGGTGGGGGGGTGGGGTGCCACGTGGTGAATGGGGGGGGGTGAAGGGGCCCCCCTCAAAGTATTTTATTTTTATTGAACAAACGATTCTGGTACGCACAACAGAGGGCATGTGTGGGGATCGACACCGGTACAGACACAAAGTGAAGTACAATAACACTGGTCAACAAAAAAGAACATTTTTTCTGGCCTTGACTTTTGCAGCTGTTCTAGACTAATTTCAGGGTGCCGATTCCAAATCTGATCTCAGATTTGCTCTATCACATCTCATTTTTATGCTATCGGCATACCCCATTTTCATTGATTTTACCCGAAATTAACTCTGTCACTTATGATTGCAAGTTTTTGCGAGTCAATGACTGCTTTAGTGTTAAAATATGGTGCTGTATTTTTTGGATAGTGTGTTTATAATATAATTTTATTTGATTATCTACTTTTTTAAATGCAATATTTGATATCACAAAAACCTGATGTGATAGACAAAAACTGATGCCAGATATGGAATCAGCACCCCAAAATTACCTTAAAACCGTTGGAATACCTTATGCCAGAAAAAGTGTGTTTACCAGTGTAATTGTTACATCATGGGACTTCCCTTGCCTGCTTGAGACTCGGCTCTCAAAGAAAGCTGTCTCTGGTGTGGACCAATCGGTTTAAAAGACAATGCACATCATACTGTCAGAGCGAGCTTCTTTGTTGCATGTTCACCTTGGAGTATATGTGGTTAATGCAGACACGATTCCTTGGAAAAGGTTTCGGTTTGGTTTTTTAACATCTTAACACCTGTTTTAGTGTCAGAAAGGGTAAAAACCAATTCTTGTACAATAATTGTTACCAACGTTATATATATATTTAATATTTGATTTATATTTCAATAGGAGCCCGGTACAGAGCATAAACCGGACAACGTTGTCCGGTTTACGTTGCACCCAGAGTTTAACGAAACGGGCAGAGCGACCGGCGTTTTGTATCTTGAACCTGTCCATGCGTTTCGATAAACTCTGCGTCCCCTGGGTGTCTACTTGCTTAACTCGGATAGCGCCTCTATGGAGGAAGGGCGGGGGTTGGGGGGGGGGGAGAAGGTAAAAGAATAGGGAGGTGGTAGTAGGGTGGGGGGGGGGGTGAAGGAGAGGGGGGTTGCCTTAAATGCCCGAATGAATGACATAAAACATCGATGTCCACCTGGAGGAGAATCCGTGAACGGGCCTCCCAAGTTTGTTAATGCTGCTTCTTCCCTGCCCCCCTTCTCACCCCCCTTAATTTTGCCACTTCGATGTTCCCGAGCGAAACTTTGTACTCGTGTGCCGACTTTAACCCTCTGCCGTCCAGAGACGTCTGCAAGTTGCAGACGTTCACCGCCAAATCTCGGAAACGCTCGCAAGCGGCTCGGCATGGATTTTATTCGGAGTAGTAGCGCCGTTGTTTCTAAAGACGCTGTTACTCGCCGCAGAGAACCTGTCGCGACACGACCCCACCGCACCCTACGGTAGCTTGCCACGTGGGAGGCTTGGTACCGATAAAGTAAATATTATTTTCTTGGGTCTTTCGGTAAAGTCACGTGACTTTACCGAAAGAACCAAGAAGATGAATCCCTGCAGTCACGAAAGCTTAAAATCGAAATTGAAATTTTATTTGACGTAGGTCTTTCATCTTCTTGGTTCTTTCGGTAAAGTCACGTAGAATGTCTCCCCGACAGACCTGGTCTTCACCTGAGGGACGGCTTCACCTGAGGGACGGCTGCTTGCGTTGTGGCCGAAACGTCGTGAGAATTATTTAATTATGTTTTATTTTTATTATTTTATTATTTCCATTCTACGTGACTTTACCGAAAGAACCAAGGAGATGAATCCCTGCAGTCACGAAAGCTTTCAATCGAGACGTAGGTGTTTGTCATCGGAACGGAGCCGTTTATAGTGTAGGCGATATCGCAGCCGTCGCTCCGATCCACATCCGTCTTCTCTTCTACAGCAACTCGATACCTAAAATCAGAACGTGTCCGCCGTGTCGCGATGACATTCACGAACCGCGCTCGGCGGAGGAGAAGGTGTTTTGGCGTCGTTTTTGGGTGACTGTTCGGGCGTGACCGCTGCTGCGGTGGCCGCTCACAGGCCTCTGCGACGGCTCGGTTTGTGGTAGAAGACCAATTAATGGCTTCGCGGTGCCACGGTTCATTATTGCCGGGCCCGACCCAAGCGCCACGCCGAGGAATTTGGTGCTTCAACGGCGCATACCGCATTAACTCGGCCGGGGAAACTGGGTCATTTGAGTTGCGGTGATTATACGTCGGCTTCCAAACCGTCATTTCAAGCGATTAACCCTAATCCCTACGCCGCTAAGAACAGGAAGATGAAGGGACAAGTCTTTGCAACGTTTGATTCAGCAGAACTCTTAAAGTCGGAGTTAATGCGGGCCCGAGACGACAGGCTTTCGTGCTCTCCGCCTGGGTGGGGCAGTGAACCCAATTCCCCTGCCCCCCTTCCCCCACTTAATTAGGCCCTGCCGCGCCCCAAACTCAGGCACGCCGAATTTGTATGCACCCCCCCCCCCCCCCCCCACGTTCGTTCTGGTAACGAAAGGTGCTCTGCACCGGCGGCTCGCGTTGAGTTGCGTGCGTACATTTTTTAAAAGTATATAACAATGCTGCAACAAAATGTAACTGAAAAAATATCTCTCAAATATAAAAATATAATATCTCTAAAAAAATAAATATCTCTTAAATAGAAAAATATAATATCTAAAAAACAAATATCTAGCAAGTAGAAAAATATAATATCTATAAAAAATGTATATCTCTCAAATAGAAAAATATATCTCAAAAAAATAAATATCTCTCAAATATAAAAATTTCATATCTCCAAAAAATAAATATCTCTCAAATAGAAAAATATTATATCTATAAAAAATAAATATCTCTCAAATGTAAAAATGAACGAGCGATCCACGTGTCCTCGTTTACCCGGTGCCCTGAGCGTAGGTGTCGCTTTGCCTTGCTAACATTGCCCATAGACTAACATTGCCCATAGACTAACATTGCCCATAGGCTAACATTGCCCATAGGCTAACATTGCCCATAGACTAACATTGCCCATAGACTAACATTGCCCATAGACTAACATTGCCCATAGACTAACATTGCCCATAGACTAACACTGCCCATAGACTAACACTGCCCATAGACTAACACTGCCCATAGACTAACACTGCCCATAGACTAACATTTACCATAGGCTAACATTGCCCATAGGCTAACATTGCCCATAGGCTAACATTGCCCATAGGCTAACATTGCCCATAAACTAACATTGCCCATAGACTAACATCGCCCATAGACTAACATTTCCCCTTTAGGCTAACAATGCCCATAGACTAACATTGCCCCTTTAGGCTAACATTGCCCATAGACTAACATTGCCCCTTTAGGCTAACATTGCCCATAGGCTAACATTGCCCCTTTAGGCTAACATTGCCCCTTTAGGCTAACATTGCCCATAGACTAACATTGCCCATAGACTAACAATGCCCTTAGACGAACGTTACCCATCGACTAACAAGTTCGTGAGCAAATGCCATGGACAGAGAGCCAAGTGGCAGGAAGGGCCATCAAGATCACGAACGCGACGCACACACACGCGGAGAGAGCGGTGGGAGAGGTTCCGGTTCGCTTGATGCCCTGCTGCCGCTAACGCCGCTGTCGTTGTTTTTTCTCCTCCGCGATCCCGTCGCTCGCTGCAGCAACGCGACGGTGACCGGGACTTACGGCTCGGGGGGGTTCGCCCCGTACGGCGTGACCGGCGTCCTCACCGGCGCCGCCACCTGCTTCTACGCCTTCGTCGGCTTCGACTGCATCGCCACCACCGGTGAGTCGTTGCGGGAGGAGGGGGTGGGTGGGTTGGTGGCGGCGTGGGACGGGCGCCCGCGATTTGGCGTTCGCCGGCAACGGCGGTGTGCCAATTCTCGCGCGCCTTATTTACTCGCGCGCCTTAGTCTGCGACGGGGATTATTGTCTTCTTGGTTCTTTCGGTAAAGTCACGTAGAAGGGAAGTAATAAAATAATAAAAATAAAACATAATAAAATAATTCTCACGACGTTTCGGCCACAACGCAAGCAGCTGTCCTCAGGTGAAACCAGGTCTGTCGAGGCGACAGCGTCTGAATGAAACAGCACACGTGCTTAGAGCATATATTTAAGCTGGGTTGGTAGGGGGGGGGAAAGGGCGCCTTGACGAAAGAATTTGCATATCAAGAGGAATTTAGCATATTTATGGGAAATGCAGGTATGTGATTAGTACTACTTATGTCTGTGCATTATGCAGGATTAGCAGCATCCAAGGGAGGGGATATTGTGTTTTTTTAACTATTTAACTTTTTACACGCCGTTTTTGATTAGTATGTCAGCACCTTTTTATTTATTTAATTGCTTATCCTGTTTGCGCGAAGTTCCGGGCAGGCGTGGGTTTCTCGTGCAAATCGTCGGTGGTGTTGTTGTCGTTGCTTTAGCTCTCGTTAGTTTGCGACTTGCCTCCACCCCGCGGAGTCCCGTGACTGCCGCCGCTGCCGTCGGCCTCTTGGGGCTGCGATCGTTTCGTAACTCTTGAGTCTCTCTTCTTGGTTCTTTCGGTAAAGTCACGTAGAACAGGTCTGTCGTCTTTCCGACAGACCTGTTCTTCACCTGAGGACGGCTGCTTGCATTGTGGCTGAAACGTCGTGAGAATTATTTTATAATGTTTTCTTTTTATTATTTTATTATTTCCCTTCTACGTGACTTTACCGAAAGAACCAAGAATATGAATCCCTGCAGTCACGAAAGCTTTAAATCGAAATCTTGAGTCTCTGTGTAACTCTAGGGATGTCTGTGTTACTCTACGAATCCCTGTGTAACTATGAATCTCTATGTAACTCTATTGGTTTCTACGTAACTGCTGTGTCCTATAACTACCGCCACTGCTGACGGTCTTGGGCTGCGGTCATCCTTGCAACAGAACTGCTTAGCTCATTGGGGCCTTGCCAGCCGAGTCTGAGTTTCTGTTGTAACTCTGAATCTGTGTCGTTCTATGAATATCCATCTAACTTTCTGGATGCCTGCGTCACTCTTCATCTCTGACTAGCTACTGATCTCGAACTCAATGAGTCTCTATGTAACTCTATGGGTCTCTATGTAACTGGATGAAACTGTATTGTCATGTAACTGCGACCATTACCGACAGTCTTGGGTTGTGGTCATCCTTGTAAAAGAGCTGCCTAGCTCAATGGGCCTTGCCAGCCAAAGTAATCAAGTCCGAGTCTATGTCTGTGTAGTGAGTTCAACTGAGTCAGAGATGTACACTTGGAGGCAACACATTTATTTACACCAACACAAAGGGGTAACTGCCCCTTAACAGGATAACAACTTGTGGTGGTGACCACCAGGCTAACTGCGCTAATGACACTAACTAGCTACAATGGACCGGACCACAGCTTGGATCCACGTGTTGGAGACTCTTGGAGGACGTAGAAAGTAGAATGTAGATTATTCAGGATGAACAACAGCAGCCGGTCCCTCTCGGCTTATATCCTCTGCGGCGTAGCTGGCTCCGCCCTTGGCCACGACCACCTTCTAGAATCCTCGAGCAGGATCTCGGCCCTGACACGTGACCACCACTAGACCCCACTTGGGGGCCCTGTGTAGACTTACCTGGTCACGTGTCCTCTGGGGTCAACCAGAGTGCCACGGTCTGTTGACAGTCCGTTTCATAGTGAGTGGGGGGAGGTCTGTCAGCAGGCCCATACGCGATTTGCTGTGTAAAATCGCCCTCGTCTTGCACGTAAGGCTGCGCATCGCTCATGCAGCCACGAGAGGGCACCACAAACATTTAAATAAGGGCACCACGGGGTGAGCAGCCCCTCCCCACCCAGCCCCACCCCTCCCACGCCCCACCTAGCCCCACCCTTCCCATCCAGCCCCTCCCCATCCTCCCCACTCAGCCCCACCCCATCCTCCACACTCAGCCCCTCCCTCCGCACCCAGCCCCTCCCTGCACGCTGGACGGACGGACACAATAATCCCCTGTGGGCTGGTGGAACCAGGTGGTTACTACCAGTATTAACCATAGGACTTGGTGAGTTTTACGCTGTGAGACCATCAGGCCCCGGTACGACTTTGAATGCCCATATTATATCGCCAAAGGTGTCGTAAGCTGGGGGGAGTGGTGAGCATTTACAAGGGTCTGTGAGAATGGTACTTTACGGCGCACCGTGCCTGTGCGCAGTCGTGATGCCTATTGACGGATGCCTTAAATGAGTGCGCCCCATCCCACGTTTGGTGTGAGCTCCGGAGGGCAGCGTTGTCCCCGTGTCCTTTCCACGCGGAGTAAAATCCACGTCGCGTTCCACGTTGACCCCGCCGCTTGCGACCGGCCAATGTCACGAATGCGACCCAGTCAATCTCGCGGCCTGAACGTGGATTGGTCTTAAAAATTTATTCTATCTTGACTTAAAGCTTTCGTGGCTGCAGGAATTCATGTTCTTTTTGTCTTTCGGTAACGTCACTTGGGTTCAAATAAAATAACAAAAAAAGAACAAAAACTATGACGTTTCGATCACAACAAAAGCGATCGTCCTCCTGATGACGATTGCTTAAGTTGTGATCGAAACTCCGTCTTTTTTTTGTATTTTTTAAAATTTTCTTTGAACCTATCTACGTGATTTTACCGAAAGACCCAAAGAATATAAAATTCATTCTGTTGGTGTTTTTATTTTTCAAATTGCATTTCAAATAAAGAGGCCGGCACAGAGCACGAACCACGACGCAGGGAGGGGGGGGGACACAGGAACTCCGCGGACACTCACTCTGTGGGTGCGCGGTTGACGGGGAGGGAGGGGGGGTGAAAAAAAGAAAGCCCGCCGCCTGCCGCCAAACGTCGTCTCCGTTAAGCCTCGCCGACATTTGGCGCGGCGTTAACGCAGCGCGGTTCGTAACGCAGCGCACACAAATACTTAAAGCCCGATGCTCGAGGTCGACGCTTCGACGAAACAACGAGCCAAGGCACGGCCCGAACAGGTGCCGCTCTTCGCCTGGGATGCGCGGACACGCGCCACGGACCGACCGTCAAGCCCCCCCCCCCCCTCCCTCTCTGTTTTGCTCGTTTGCGGTTGCAGGCGAGGAGGTGAAGAACCCTCAGCGGGCCATCCCCATCAGCATCGTCGCCTCGCTGCTCATCTGCTTCGTGGCCTACTTTGGCGTGTCGGCCGCCCTCACGCTCATGATGCCCTACTATCTGCTGGACGAGGCCAGCCCCCTGCCCGTGGCCTTCGAGTACGTGGGCTGGGGCCCCGCCAAGTACATGGTGGCCATCGGGGCGCTGTGCGCGCTCACCTCGAGGTAAGGCCACCGCGGTGTCGCCGGCATTCGTGGCTAACGGCTCGTGGATACGTCCTTGTGTTGATCTTTCGCACCGTGCGTAGCCAGCCGTGCTAATCGGAGGTGCAGTGTTGAGTCTATGGGCAGTGTTGAGTCTATGGGCAGTGTTGAGTCTATGGGCAGTGTTGAGTCTATGGGCAGTGTTGAGTCTACGGGCAGTGTTGAGTCTATGGGCAGTGTTAGTCTACGTGCAGTGTTGTGTCTGTGGGCAGTGTTGAGTCTACGGGCAGTGTTGAGTCTACGGGCAGTGTTGAGTCTATGGGCAGTGTTGAGTCTATGGGCAGTGTTGAGTCTATGGGCAGTGTTGAGTCTATGGGCAGTGTTGAGTCTATGGGCAGTGTTGAGTCTATGGGCAGTGTTGAGTCTATGGGCAGTGTTGAGTCTATGGGCAGTGTTGAGTCTACGGGCAGTGTTAAGTCTATGGGCAGTGTTAGTCTACGTGCAGTGTTGTGTCTGTGGGCAGTGTTGAGTCTACGTGCAGTGTTGAGTCTATGGGCAGTGTTGAGTCTATGGGCAGTGTTGTGTCTGTGGGCAGTGTTGAGTCTACGGGCAGTGTTGAGTCTGGGCAGTGCCGAGTCTATGGGCAGTGTTGAGTCTACGGGCAGTGTTGAGTCTATGGGCAGTGTTGAGTCTATGGGCAGTGTTGAGTCTATGGGGAGTGTTGAGTCTATGGGCAGTGTTGAGTCTATGGGTAGTGTTGAGTCTATGGGCAGTGTTGAGTCTATGGGCAGTGTTGAGTCTATGGGCAGTGTTGAGTCTATGGGTAGTGTTGAGTCTACGGGCAGTGTTGAGTCTATGGGTAGTGTTGAGTCTATGGGCAGTGTTGAGTCTATGGGCAGTGTTGAGTCTACGGGTAGTGTTGAGTCTATGGGCAGTGTTGAGTCTATGGGTAGTGTTGAGTCTATGGGTAGTGTTGAGTCTATGGGTAGTGTTGAGTCTATGGGCAGTGTTGAGTATATGGGCAGTGTTGAGTCTACGGGTAGTGTTGAGTCTATGGGCAGTGTTGAGTCTATGGGCAGTGTTGAGTCTATGGGCAGTGTTGAGTCTATGGGCAGTGTTGAGTCTATGGGCAGTGGTGAGTCTATGGGCAGTGGTGAGTCTACGGGCAGTGTTGAGTCTATGGGCAGTGTTGAGTCTATGGGCAGTGTTGAGTCTACGGGCAGTGTTGAGTCTACGGGCAGTGTTGAGTCTACGGGCAGTGTTGAGTCTACGGGCAGTGTTGAGTCTACGGGCAGTGTTGAGTCTACGGGCAGTGTTGAGTCTACGGGCAGTACGTACATACGTACGTTTGACTTCTGTCGCACCGTGCGTAGCCAGCCGTGCTCATCGCATGTGCGGTGTTGGCACGGTGCGCGCCGCCGCTTGTAACCGTCGTCGCGCGCACTGGGACGTCGGTTCCCCCGTGTGGCCACGCGGAGGAGCGTCCGCTGCTCTCGCGCTCGGCCGCCGCCCGCCCACCCCCCCTCCTTGCAGGAGGGAAGTATCCCCTTCCGTAGCGCGGTTTATTTAACCGTAACTTCCCTGCGCCCGTCAGCGGGGGGGTTGGTGTAAAGCGTAGGCGTGGGAGCGTAGAAGTACATCGCAACGATGGATTTTTTGTTTGTTTTTGCTGGCGCACAGCCCCGCAGCAGCCTAAGCAACCTGGCGTGCAAGGTGGTGGCCACCTATCCGGGCGCCTTCCAGCCTCTGGCCTGCTTGGCTTATGAGGTCTGATGAGATCGGGCACATCGTGATGTTAACAGTAATGTTAATGATCCATAGCAGACGTTTTTGGGTTAGATCGCGCGACTATAAATGTGTCGTTAAACCCGCCACCACCTGACACGGCCAATCGTCAGGTGCGAGAGGCGGAGGTGCGGGGATTAATGAATGCATATAAATTCTCACAAGTGACAACATCACATTTATCCCTCTATTTCGGACTGAAACAGGAGGAGGATTTATCCAGAAACACTTGACTGTCGCCTGATGATGCTGGTTGTAATTCCTGGCGAAACGTCGTGCTGGAATTGTCAATTTTGTAGTGGGTTTACTCTCCCGACACACATGTGGTGTGCCGAACTAGCAACGGATTGGCAGGTTTTATTTACGTGACAAATCTTTATAAGGTGGTTGTGTCGGGTGGTGGCGGGTTTAACGACACATTGATATTCACGCGAATTAAGGGGCCGTCCATAAATGACGTCACGCACCTGGGGGGGGGGGGTCAGATATTTGTGACGATGTGTGACGGGGGGGGGGGGCGGGGGTTTTAGAAATGTGACATCGCATCAAAATGCGCAACTTTAAATAAATATAGACAACACGTTCTACTTAATTAAATATACTTTTTAATAAATGTTTTCTTCTACAACAGAGTGCAGCGCCACATTAAATACGCACTACAATGACAATATTCTTGGGGGGGGGGGGGCAGAGCTTTGTGACGTCATATTTGAGGGGGGGTCTGACTTTTTATGACGCCGTGTGACTAGGGTTGGGGGGGGGGGGTAAAAAATCGTCTAAAATCGCGTGACGTCATTTATGGACGGCCCCGCACCCAAAAAACCTCCCTATGGAAAATATTGGTCATGGAAGTCTACGTGTTGAACTCTTTAATAATAATGCCCAATGTATGGAGAAGCGCCTTTCATCAAGGATCTCACTGGGGAAAGAAAAAGAGGCGAAATAATAAAACAAATGCTATGATGTCTGGGTATCGATTACACTTTTTTTAAAATAATCGATTAGTTTCGTATCGCGGCGTCATTCATGCAAATTGCATCTGCCAATCGCCGAGTGACAACCACAGGCCGAGCTGGAAGGATGCCGGGCAGTGAGCCGGCACCAACAGTTCCCTCCGTAATTAAGATGTTTTCGGCCAATTGGCGAGCGTTTATGCTGCACGTGGGAGCAAAAACCCGGCGAAAACCCACACGTGCGAGGGGGCAACACTCGATCCCACACAGAAGGCGCAGGCGATATCAGTCCGCGCTTCGCTGCATTCTCCTAGCGAGCCAGGGCTTACGGGCATCGCCTCGACGCCCGCGGGGTCCGAAGGGAGCTTCTCGACATTTGCGCGGCGATTCACCCATCCCTTGCCGCTCCCTCCACAACGTACGGATAGCGGTGAAGGCAGCATAGCCGCCAGCGCCTGGTGTCGCCTCCGTGGAATCCAGGTTGCCCGTGCGGAGGTTGCCTTCTCGCCCGCCTTCGCGTGCAACGAGCATTTTTATAACCGCCGCTACCGCCATCATCGGTGAACTCTCTCTCTCTCGCTCCCTTCCGTGCGCTCGGCCTGATTGCCCCACCCCAGTTTGCTCGGAAGCATCTTCCCCATGCCTCGCATCATCTACGCCATGGCGGAGGACGGCCTGCTGTTCCGCTGGCTGGCGCGCGTCCACAAGCGCTTCAAGACTCCCATCCTCGCGACGATCACTTCGGGCTCCGTGGCAGGTGAGCGCCCGGGCTCTGCGCTTCAGACTGTTTGGCTGCTACGGGGGTTATTTGACTGCTGCTGCCGTTATAGACGTCCACGGGGTGGCGATGAGGCCCACTTCCTTGGGCTGTCACCGTGGCCAGGTCGACGAAGAGCTGTGTAGCTCGGCAGCCAAAGATTCTTAAACGCGTGACAGTGGTACTAAAATGTGGAGGGGGAAAAACGGAGGAACTGGCGAAAAATCCACGCGACCACGGGGAGAGAGAGGGAAAGAGAGAGAGACGCACACTCCAAATATACAGCAGCAGGTGTCAGGGTCAGGATCGAACCCACGACCTCCTGTATACCAGGCGAGGTAGTTAACATCTCCTAGCCACCATGATGATGAGAGAGAGACTCAAACTCCAAATATACAGCAGGCATTGTCAGGGTCGGGATTGAACCCACGACCTCCTGTATACCAGGCGAGGGAGTTAACATCTCCTAACTATCGTTGCGCCCCTCTGCTCTGCATCCCTGGCCGAGGGAAGTGGTCCGGCCGAGATTTGAGCCGGCTTCTCTCCGACGGCGAGTGAAGTGCTCTGACCACGGCCGGACGACGTAATTTTGATTCGCGCACCGACGAGGACTTGGGGGGGGGGGGGGGGGGGGGTGCGGGGGGCTGACGGATCGCTCGTGAGTAGCAGCGAGCCGCGACACTGGCGAGCCCGAGGCGTTGCTGCTCGTACATGAGGGAGTGGGTTCGATCCCGACCATGACAATCCCTGGATATTTGGTGTTTGCGTGTCTCTCGCTCTCTCCCCGTGGTCGCGTGGATTTTTCGCCGGGTCCTCCGGTCTTGTGCTTCACATTTTAGAATAGACATCGCGCGTTTGGAGTTCTTTGGCTGCTTTATACATTCCCGCTCATTGGCCAAACCGGTGATGGTTATCTGAACCAGAGGTCGCAAACAGGTTTTGATTCCTTACCCGTACCCGTACCCGGCCGCACCAGCGTCGCAAACGGGTACCCGTACCCGTACCCGGCCGGGTACGGGTAGCCGAGTATCGGGTAGGGTACGGGTACCTGATTGCGACCTCTGGGATGAAGCCATGTTGCAGGCGCGGGTGGGTTGATTCTAGGAACTTGAATTGTGAGAAGAGACAAGACGTTGGGAAATTAGTGACAAACGGTTACTCACCAGTGACTCACGGCCTTCTCACTCATTGGTTGTGGTGAGTCACGTGCGTCTACCCGTACCCGTACCCCACCGCACCAGGGTCGCAAACGGGTAGCCGTACCCGGCCAGGTACAGGTAGCCGGGTATCAGGTAGGGTACGGGTATCGGGTACCCGATTGCGACCTCTGATCTGAACTCGTTTTGGGCCTCCCTCTCCCCGAAGTTGACTCCACCTCAAATGAGCACCTGGTGCGATGTGTAAACATCGGGCGTGGTGTTGGCCGCCCACCCCCTCGTGCGCCGTGCCGGCCTTTTAAAGGTGCCGCTGCTCGCTTCACGGTGCTTGCCCCGAACAGTCCGTCAATGCTGGATATTTGAACCTTATGGCGGTACCCCGGCTCTCGCACAATGTCCGTGATGCAGTCATTTGTAGTCTGTTGATGGTCGGCGACGCGGCAATCGACTCATCTCGACGAGCTGTGCACGATGCACCGCTACGGTGCGTGCGAGCATTCCGGGTTTCGTCGCAATCATTGTCCTCGCTGCGTTTCGACATTGCGGAGTGTGGCACCACCGATTTGATTGGTACCCCAGTCGCGGAGTTGAAGTATACACTCCTGGAAAAAAAATCGTGTCCCAGAAATAAAATATTTTATTGCCTCGGCCATTTTGTATTACATTGGTACCCCGGGGTTCCGCCATGAGGGTCATTTTGCCTTTTATCGTTTGTCTGCATCAGCGGTGATGGCGTTCCTGTTTGACCTCATCGCCCTGGTGGACCTCATGTCTATCGGAACGCTGCTCTCATACTCTCTGGTGGCTGCCTGCGTGCTCATCCTGCGGTAAGGAATGCCAAGCAGCAGCTCCCCGCCCGCCTCACCCCCGCTCGCCACGCTCTTTCCCGGGTCCCCTTCCTCTTTCGTCCGAACGAATTAATCCACGGGGTCCTTTTTAATATTTTTGCTGCGGTTGGCTACAGCCGTGTAGCCTCGGAATAACATGGGCGGATATATATACGGCAGCCTGGCGTTATGGTAACAACATCAAAAAACATTTGGGGGTGAGTGGTGGTGGTGGTGCGGGGTGGGGTGGTGGTGGTGTGGGGTTGGTGGGGGTGGTGGGGGTGGTGGTGGTGTGGGGTTTGTGGTGGTGGTGGGGTTGGTGGTGGTGGGGGTGGTGGTGGTGTGGGGTTTGTGGTGGTGGTGGGGTTGGTGGTGGTGGGGGTGGTGGTGCGGGGTTGGTGGTGGTGGTAAGTGGGGTTGGTGGTGGTGGGGTTGGTGGTGGTGGTGGTTGGGTTGGTGGTGGGGGTGGTGGTTGGGTTGGTGGCGGGGTTGGTGGTGGTGGTTGGGTTGGTGGTGGCGGGGTTGGTGGTGGTGGTGGTGGTGGTGGTAAGTGGGGTTGGTGGTGGTGGGGTTGGTGGTGGTGGTGGTGGTTGGGTTGGTGGTGGGGGTGGTGGCGGGGTTGGTGGTGGTGGCGGGGTTGGTGGTGGTGGTGGTGGTGGGGTTGGTGGTGGTGCAGGGCCACAACCCCGATCGTCTGGCTGCTCGTTGGCGGCTCTTCCGCGTTTGTGCAGGAAAGGCTCTCGCCACTGCCGCCCCGGTTTCTGGCACCCGCGCTGCACGGTCACCGCTGCAGCGCTGGGTCGCGCGTGCCAGAGCTGCTCTGTGATGTCCGGTGGTTGTCCGTGTTGTTGTTGTTGTTGTGTTTATATAGAAAGCAACATGAATAACATTACAGACCACGGACCTGGTATTTCACGGAAGGACCGTTATTCGTACACGTCGGCTTTTCGCGACCAATATTACGCACGATAAACGTTTTTGGGTTGGATGGCGTAAATATAAATGTGTCGTTAACTCGCCCGATTCGCAAGGTTTGTCACGTGAGCAAAACGTGCCGATTGGCTACTACTTCGGCACACAATTTGAGTACCGTGGCATTTCGCGAGAGATTCATCGGGCGATTCGCCTCCCTGAAGAGAGAGAGAATGACTCGGCAGATGCCAGGCGGAGCCACAGACGAGAGCTGCAAGTCGGCCACGCGATGAGCCGGCGCCAACAATTGCCCAAGCTCTGTGATCCTCTTTGTATGAATGTTTTATCGGCCAATTAATAAGCGTTTTAACGTGCGAGGACACCGCAGCACCCGGAGGAAACCCACGCGTGCGAAGGGGGGGGGGGGGGAGAACGCTCGATCCCGTACAGATGGAACACATTTTTTCTGTGCCGCCTTCTCGGTGCGGTACTCTGGGACGCCCACGGGAAGGGAGTTTCACGCGACGTCTGTGTGCGATCCACCAGCCATCGCCGCTTGCCTCCACGGCGCCGGATTACAGGCAGCCCACGTGCTCAGCCGGCGGACGCGGCGTGCGCGTATCCATTGCGGCGTTGCGACATTCGAACGGCGAAACTCGCGTCGACGAATTCGGCCGCGGTCGATCGCCGCGATGCGTCAAGCGCAGATTTGGTGACCGCGCTGCCCACGTGTGACCCCCCCCACTGTTCGCGTGGTCAGTTACCAACCGGAGCCGGACTGGAAGGACTCACCGGACTTTGAATTCGTGCCTGGGGGTGCCGGCTCGGAGGAGCAGGACAAGCCGCAGTGGGGGCCCATGCTGCTGATACAGCCTCGGTCGCGGCTTCCCAACAAGCAATCGACCGTCATCGTGAACGTGTGTGTCGGCCTCATCGGTGAGCCCCCCTCCCCGCCCCCCCCCCACCGTGCCGCAGCGGCGAAATGTTAACTACCTCGCCTGGTATACAAGAGGTCGTGTGTTCGATCCCGACCCTGACGATGCCTGCTGTATATTTGGAGTTTGCGTGTCTCTCTTTCACAGTGATGAGATGTTAACTACCTTGCCTGGTATACAGGAGGTCGTGTGTTCGATCCCGACCCTGACGATGCCTGCTGTATATTTGGAGTTTGCGTGTCTCTCTCTCACAGTGATGAGATGTTAACTACCTCGCCTGGTATACAGGAGGTCGTGGGTTCGATCCCGACCCTGACGATGCCTGCTGTATATTTGGAGTTTGCGTGTGTCTCTCTCACAGTGATGAGATGTTAACTACCTCGCCTGGTATACAGGAGGTCCTGGCTTCGATCCTGACCCTGACGATGCCTGCTGTATATTTGGAGTTTGCGTGTCTCTCTTTCACAGTGATGAGATGTTAACTACCTTGCCTGGTATACAGGAGGTCGTGTGTTCGATCCCGACCCTGACGATGCCTGCTGTATATTTGGAGTTTGCGTGTCTCTCTTTCACAGTGATGAGATGTTAACTACCTCGCCTGGTATACAGGAGGTCGTGGCTTCGATCCCGACCCTGACGATGCCTGCTGTATATTTGGAGTTTGTGTGTCTCTCTCCGTGGTCGCGTGGATTTTTCCCTTAGTCCTCCGGTTTTTCCGTCCACATTTAGAATCAACATCACGCGTTTTAGAGTATTTGGCGAATTTCCACATGATAAGCCACTTCGTTGAGATCTAATTTGTGGCCAGGTCGCTTCTGAAGAGCTACACATAGCTCAGTGAGCCTTACCTGGTCAAATAAAAAGTTTACTTTAACCTCGTGACCATGATTGCGTACTCATGTGCACGGATTGGTTGTAAACGTGATTGTGTGGGGAGCGGTGGTGCAACGGTTAGCACGCTGCGCTACAAAACCGGCGACCCGAGATCGATTACCGCTCACGGTCAACACCAGTGACAATTATCTGAACCGGTCCTGGGCCTCCCCTAGGTCGACTCGGCCTCAACTGAGTACCTGGTGCGATGTGTAAACATCGTCACTGGGGAGACAAAGGCGGCCGGGCGTGGTGCTGGCCACCCACCCCTTCGTGCGCCGTGCCGGCCTTCATTGGTGCTCACTAACAGCACTTGCCCCAACAGTCTGCTGAGGCTATACAGCGGGGGAGGCGATCCTTGTCTCTGTGAACGCGATTGTGCGCTTGTGTGCGCTGGTTGAGGTGTGGTTACGTAACTGGCGTGTGTGGGTCCGTCCGTCCGTCCGTCCGTGTGTGTGCGCAGCGTTACTCTGCGTGGTCCTCACCATGTTCATGGTGCACGGAGCCTCGGCCCTGGCCGAGCAGGCCACCTGGGTCATCGCCATGGTCGTCATCTTTGCCACCGCCCTCGTCGCGGTCACCGTCGTCGTCTGGAGGCAGCCGCAGAGTCAGACGAAGGTCTCCTTCATGGTAAGGACCCTCCCGAGCAGGAGTCGTGAGGCCTCCGGTGCGAGGCTTTGCTGGGCTTGGCAATCGCAATAAATAAACAAACGTGCAGCGTGCAGCCATGATGGTTGCCATCTAGCTTCTTCCCACAATGCACCGCGTCAAGATCGGAGGGTGCACGCGATCAATGCGAGAGCGCGGGGACGTTGAGCCTTGTGTCACGTACTCTTTGGCCGTGCGATACATTTAGAAACGCGCCTCCGATTTTGGCAAGGTTGGCTACGTACGGTGCGAAAGAAGTTCAACGCACATACATACAAAATATACAAAAACATCTTAACCCGTTCCCATTCTGATGATTCTGATGATGTACCGGAAGACGTTACCGAGGCTCCCGCAAGCCCCACGCGGGAGGGCGTGCGACACTGTTTAGCGCCAGCTATCGTAGAGTGCGGTCGCGTCGCTCCGGTTCTCTGCGGTGAGTAACAACGACTTTTAAAAACAAAATAAATCAAATTAACGCCGCGCCAGTCGCGCTGTTCCGAGATTCGGAGGTGAACGGGGACGACCACCACTCTGCAACTTGCAGCAACGTCTCGGAATGGAAATGGGGAAAGGGTTTTTATTCAACGACGTTGACGAAAGAGCGACCGGCCAAGACGCTGCTGAAGGGCCTGTCGGGCGCTGTCTCCGAAAGGCTTCTTTGACAAACAGCGCTTGACATTCACATCCAGTGTCGTCTTATTCTCACGTCCAGCCCTCGTTAATTCGCACTGACCTGGGGACATGTCGCCCCCTTTGCAATGACTCTGCAGATACGCCGAAAAAGTCCGCAGGCAATTTTACATTTTGATGACGAGATGATAAAAAGGGAATTTGCGATCGCGAGCGATGCGTCTGCGGGACGGTGTGACCGGCGGGTTCGATTTCAGCCAGGTGCTGTCCATCTGCCACACTTTCAGCGACGTGGAGCCCAGGGATTCGATTGCTGAAGGGTCGGGAAAAACTTTTTTTCTGGTCGGTGACTTGGTGGCTAGGAGATGTTAACTTCCTCGCTTTGTATACGGGAGGTCGTTGGTTCGATGCCGGCCCCGACGGCTGCGCATGTCCTCCCCGTGGTGGCGTGGATATTTCCCCGGGTCCTCTGGGTTTAACCCTGCACATTTAGAAACATTTTGAGAGTATTTGGCTGCTATAAATTTCAACATGATAAGCCAATATGGGACCTTTCTTGCAAGTATTAAAATATGTCAAGATGTTAAAGCGCCAAACAGAATCGCTTACTCAAGGAATCTTGTCCGCATTAACCGCACGTACTTGCGGTGAACATGCAAACAAATAAACATGCTCTGATAATATATTGGCATTGTCCTTGAAACCGATTGGTCCGCACCAGAGACGGCTTTCTATCGAGTCGAGTCTCAGCAGAGGACGCCAAAAGGTGAACAGCACGAAGCATGAAAATGACCAGAGCACGATTTTTGTTTGCATGTTCACCGCAAGTGCGTGTGGTTAATGCGGACAGGATTCCTTGAGTAAGGATTATGTTTGGGGTTTTAACATCTTGGCACCACTGTTTTATTGGGACCTCCTTTGCCAGTACCAAAATATGAGAATGGGGTTTTCCCCTTTTTTCATGGCAACAAAACAGGTGTTGAGATGTTAAAACACCAAACTGAAACCTTTTTGTCTGCATTAACCACCATACTTGTGGTTAGAAAGCAAACAAAAAACACGTTCGATAATGATTGTCTTTGAAACTGATTGGTCCACACCAGAGACCGCTTTCTTTCGAGCCTCGTCTCAAACGGTGTTAGACCAGAGGACGTGTGGACCAATCAGTTTCAAGGACAATGCATCATATATTATCAGAGCATATTTTCTGTTTGCATTCTGACCACAAGTATTGTGGTTAATGCAGACATGATTCCTTGTTAAAGGTTTCAGTTTGGTGTATTAACATCTTAACACAGCTGTTTTGTTGCCATGAAAAAATGGGAAAAACCTATTCTCACCTGTTTTATTGCCAGAAAGAGTAAAACCTTTTGTTACATGATGAGCCACTTCGCTGAGCTCTCGTTTGAGGCCAGCTCGCTTCTGAAAACGAGCTTACGTAGCTCAGTGGGCCTTAATTTACAGAAATATTTCCCCACCCGGCACACCACATCCATCGGACGGTGGTGGCTATGCTGCTGCTGCCGCTGCGCATGGCTGCCTGTAAATCCAGCGCTGTGGAGGCAGCAGCAGCAGCAGCGAGGGTTTCTGGATCACCACACAGATGTCGTGTGAAACTCCCTTGCCGTGGGTGTCGAGGCCCGGCCACACCCTGGCTCGCCGTGAGAAGGCGGTACAACGAATGTGCACTTCAGCTGTTCCATCTGTATGGGATCGAGTGTTGTCCCCTTGCACACGTGTTTTTTTTTCCAGGCGCTCCAGTTTCTTCCCACAAGTAAACAGCTGACTGGCCTATAATGCCTTAACATATAGGGGATCGCAGAGCTTTGGGTGGAGAATTTGTCGCCGGCTACACCGCATGACCGCTGCATTCCCCGCCACTCGTCTGTGGTTCGGGGCCAGTGCAGAGTTACAAGTTGAGATGATCCGTATTAGTATTCCTCTCGCCACGGCTCTGGCTCCTCGGTCCTGCGTGGCTACTGCAGTCTATCGGAGACCCACAAAATATCCAGTGAGAAGCTTGCACTCCGCCTGGCTGCTGCTCGCCGCAACGGGGGTGTGAAGACGATGGCACGAAGCACATTTAAAAAAATGAACCAAAAAAATCGCAAGCTGCTTGTCGCTTGCTCTTATTTCAAATGTCACGAGGACACGCCTGCCCTCTCTCTGTCTCTCTCTGCGGTCTCTCCACAGAGAGACGCAGCAGCGCGGGGTGGCCTAGCGATCAATCTCGGCCTCGACGCCACGGAGTTAGGGGATGGGGGGTCGGCGGGGTGATTCTTCGCCGCTCTTACCACACCCGTCCGATGATTTAGGAAGCCCGCTGGGGGGCTATGCAGTTTTAAATCCAGTTTGAAAACTCGTTTCTTTCAAACTGCTGTTTTGTGTTTTTAGTTTGTAGTCACATCCCCCCCCCATCCCCCGCACCTCCGATTAGCACGGTTGGCTACGTACGGTGCAAAAAAAGTTCAACATACACACATACTGCCCATGGACTCGAAACACTGCCCATAGTCTATTGGTAGTGTTGAGTCTAACACTGCCCATGGACTAACACTGCCCATAGACTCAACACTGCCCATAGACTCAACACTGCCCATAGACTCAACACTGCCCATAGACTCAACACTGCCCATAGACTCAACACCGCCCGTAGACTCAACACCGCCCGTAGACTCAACACCGCCCGTAGACTCAACACCGCCCGTAGACTCAACACCGCCCGTGGACTCAACACTGCACTTCCCATTTGCACAGTGGCTAAGTACGGTGGGAAAGAGGTTCAACGTACCTACACGAGGTGCCACCAATCGCCGATAGGGGCACGTACCACCATCTCATCCCTCTGCCAGTGCTCCCACAAAGGAGAGGAGACCCAAGACTGAATCGCATCCAACCACATTACTTGGTGATGCTGCTGCTACTGCGTTGGCAGTGGTGCATGTAGGGTGCCACGGTGGCTAGGAGATGTTAACTACCTCGCCTGGTAGACAGGAGGTCGTGGGTTTGATCCTGACCCTGACGATGCCTGCTGTATATTTGGAGTTTGCATGTCTCTCTCACAGTGTCGAGATGTTAACTACCACGCCTGGTATACAGGAGGGTCGTGGGTTCGATCCTGACCCTGACACCCGTTTGGATATTTGGATTTTTTTTCTTTTCTCTCCGCCTGATGAGTTTTTTTCTTTTATTATTTTATTTAAATTTTTGATTTTACTATTTTTTTTTATTATGGGTTTTTTGTTTTTATTATTTTCATTAATAATTTTTGTATTTTATTTGCATTATTAAAAAAAAAAAGTTTTTATTTTACTTATTTTTATTATGTGTTTTTTTTTCTTTCATTTTCATTAATACGTTTTTTATTATAAAAAAAAAGTTTTTTTCTATTCACGTGACTTTATCGAAAGAACCAAGAATATGTATATTTGGAGCTGGCGTGTTCTCTCTTCCCGTGGTCGTGTGGATTCTTCTCCCAGGTCCTGCGGGTTTCCCCTCCACAGTTAGAATCGACATGTGTAATTTGGCAGCTATAAAAATTCCACGGGTGATTGGGCCAACTTCGTTGAGCTATCATTTGTGGCCAGGTCTTTTCTGAAAGAGAGCTACATATCCCAGGGGGGGGCCTTACCTGCTAAAAACAAATAGTAAATTGTGATTTTAATAATAATAATAATTCAACGCGTTTGACAATAATGCTCTGGCCGTAAAAGAAAAAATATATATTGGTGATTGTTTCAGGCAATGGCCTTTCTCATTCATAGCTCATCAATTAACAAACTCTCCTCCAGCAGTGTGCGACTGTGGGTCATGCAGACCAGCACCGTCCGATGTATATCGACGCAACGTCCCCCTCAGATCCAAAAAAAACACGGACACGTGACAGCGACGACGATACGCTACTCCGCTGCTGTTGCTGCTGCTGCTGCGGTCCTGCCGACACGGTTGTCCGGCTTGACCACCGGAGCTGTGACAAATCCATCGGCGCTGTCGCTCTGCGATCCGCGTCGGCAGCTGCACGGCAAGAAAGAAACGGAGACCGGGAGAGATGGCGCTAATAAAGGGCTCGAGCCGGCACTTGTTCATAATGTTTAGTTACACTAGATTTGAAGCTTTCGTGACTGCAAGGATTCATACTCTTAGTTTTTTCGGTAAAGTCACGTTACTTTACCGAGTGTTAACATCCCCGGCGTTTAACAGTACTCTCTTTATTGTCAGCCAACACTGGTATAAACATGGGCATTTTCGTTCTCTTCTATCATGTCATCATGTGCACCAACAGGGACTTGCGCACAAACACGTCGACGTCTACGAGCACCTCGTGCTCTCTTTTAGCCCCGCCCCTCTCCCGATACGTTCCATTCATTGGCTACTACATTCTGATAAGCTCCCCCCCCCCCTCCCCCTTAACTTGTATTTAAGAACTTGCATCATGGAATTCTTCCCTCACTTGATGCAGCAAATCTGGCTGTGACGGTCCCACCGGATGACGGAGACTTGTGTTGCCTCCGAAACGTCGTGATTTATTATTTTATTTTTATTCATTTTAATTTCATTTTTTACCTACGTGACTTTACCGAAAAAACTAAGAGTATAGTTACACTAATAGGGGCTACTGAGTGTGACGGACAAAAACCCTTCACGAGTCAAAACGTTGTTGAGCGGTATCCACCGTGCAAGCGCTAAAATCGCGTACGCCGGTGTCCTCCATCGCGGGGATGCTGGCGGCCCCTGGTGGGCCTTCAGTGGTGGCCCGCTGACGTGAGACTCTTCCCCAGAGGTCGCAAACGGGTTTTGATTCCTAACCCGTACTCGTACCAGGGTCGCAAATGGGTACCCGTACCCGGTCGTGCACGGGTAGCCAGGTATCGGGTAGGGTACGGGTATCGGGTACCCGATTGCGACCTCTGCTCTTCCCCCCCACCCGGCCGGGTACGGGTACCCGTTGCCTACCCGTATCCTACCCGAAATGAGTGACAAACGGTGACTCGCCAGTGACTCACGGCCTACCCGTACCCGTACCCGGCCGCACCAGGGTCGCAAACGGGTACCCGTACCCGGCCGGGTACGGATAGCCGGGTATCGGGTAGGGTACGGGTATCGGGTACCCGATTGCGACCTGCTCTTCCCCCCCTCCTCCCTCCCCGACAATACACAAACGGTGAAACCACCGCCCACCCATCATCGTCATCGTGTTGCTGTCCAAACCCCCCCCAGTGGGTTCAAATGGCGTGGCGGTAACTCAACGCCGACTGATGCCTTTATCGGCGAAAGTGGCCCACAACCAACCCTCCACCTCTGAAAATTGAGTGCAGATCACCAAGTTTGAAGTGTTGGTTCAGCTCCTCATGCTGCCACCACCACCACCACTAAAGTACAAAGATCCCCCGTCTTATTGTTTTTTTTGGTAAAGTCACGTAGAAGGGAAATAATAACATTTGATTTTATGATGTTTTACGTGTATTATTTTATTATTTCCCTTCTATGTGACTTTACCGAAAGAACCAAGAAAAGATGAATCCCTGCAGTCACGAAAGCTTTAAATCGAAAATATCCCCCGTATAGCCTTTAACAGACTGCTGGGGCAAGTGCTGTTAGTGAGTAGCACCTATGAAGGCCGGCACGGCAGACACGAGAGGGGCGGGGGAGGGGGGTGGCCAGGACTACGCCCGGCCGTCTTTGTCTCCCTCTCTTATCGGCCACAGTTCCCCCCACCCCCCACCTTTGATAAACTGAGTGAAGAAGACTGAGACTGCCGTACGAGGTGCAATCGTGCAAGCGCCACGACAGTGCAGGTCGTGCAGCTACGCACGTGCGTGCCGTACCGCGTGACAAGGTGTGCCTTTCTCTCCGCCTCGCAGGTGCCCTTGCTGCCCGTGCTGCCCGTTGTCAGCATCTTCGTGAACACCTACCTCATGGTGCTGCTGGACCTCATGACCTGGATTCGGTTTGCAGCCTGGATGACCATCGGTATGGCAATCCCTCCGCTCCCCTCTCCTCCCCTTCGCTCTGCTGTCTGCCTACCCGGCCACTAGCCGAGGCCGCCGGCGGTGTGACAAAGCGTCGGGTTGCATCGATCGGCAGCGCGCGTGGGAACTGGGAATTCCTCCGCCGGGGATGCGCGTCGTAGGTAGCGGGTTCATGCGACGCCTGCAGGCACTCGGAGGCCGCTACTTTCAACGTAATGTCTAACAACGAGTTGGTGTCTGTGTCGAAACCCCGACCCTGATTGGTGGCGACAGTTCATGGCAATGACTCCACCACGCACCACCATGCGCCACCACGCACCACCACGCACCACCACGCACCACCACGCACCACCACGCACCACCACGCACCACCACGCACCACCACGCACCACCACGCACCACCACGCACCACCACGCACCACCACGCACCACCACGCACCACCACGCACCACCACGCACCACCACGCACCACCACGCACCACCACGCACCACCACGCACCACCACGCACCACCACGCACCACCACGCACCACCACGCACCACCACGCACCACCACGCACCACCACGCACCACCACGCTCCACCATGTACCACCATGCACCACAACGCACCACAACGCTCTTGGCTGGCCATCGAACAAAGATGGTGGTTCTGCGGCCGTCTGGAACACTCTTCCTTCCGATATCAAGAAGCCACTGAAGCTATGCACTTTGAAATCCAGATTGAAAACTAATTTCTTTAGAACTAATTTTTGTGTTTAGTTGGCTGTCCTTCCCCCGCAACGCCGATTTAGCACCGTTGGCTACGTACGGTGCGAAAGAAGTTCAACGTACATACAGTCCGTATGTTGAACTTCACCGTTGAAGGACTCCGCCGATCTGCGAATGTGGCGAGCTGTGGTCCATGAGCATCTCCCAGAGCAACAGAAACAGAAGCGGCAGCAACGATCTACCTTGCTGCCCCAGAACCCACCTTGCTGCCCCAGAACCCATTGCTTCCCATCGGCTGTCACACCTCACAGGAAGACCATCTCACAGAAACCCGTTGATTTTTGGAGTCTCCATGAGCAAGTAATCGAGATATTCAAGAGTTGATAATAATTATAAAAAAACCTTGGGGCAGGAGGGCAGCATAGTGGTTAACACTCGTACCGCGTGCAGCGTCAAAGGGCCTGGGTTCGATTCCTGCCCTTGGGCACCTTTGTGTGTGTGTGTGACGTTTCTATGACCTCCCCATGTTCTGCCTAGGTTTCCTCCCATAGATAAACAACAACAAACCCCACCCATAAATTGTAATCGGTTTCGGCCAAAATATTACCACAATGTGGACAAAACCCACCAGCGAATGACTCGATTTGTCATTGCGTTTTGGCAGGACGAGGATTCGCCGCGCCTTTCCCCGGGTCAACGAGCGTAGTCGCAGTAGTAATAATAATAGTGAATAATAAACTATATTTGACAGGACAATAGTTGAGGGATATCATATCGGAAATGTGGATTCAGTTTGTGCGGTGCAGCGTGGGGCGAGGGCACGGTCTCTAGCACGGCGCAGGTTGCGCTGTGCGCGGCAACAGCAGCAGCAGCAACAGCAGCAGCAACAGCAGCAACAGCAGCAACAGCAGCAACAGCAGCAACAGCAGCAACAGCAGCAACAGCAGCAACAGCAGCAACAGCAGCAACAGCAGCAACAGCAGCAACAGCAGCAACGCCACCTCTCTCATTCGTGCCGCTTCCCAGAGCAGTAGCAGCAGCAGGCAGCAGGCAGCAGCAGCAGCAGGCACTGTCATCAATGCCTCGGAGCATATTTCAGAGTAACGACCTTCTTAGAATGCAGCGCGCGGCAGGGAACACACTGTACCCGCCACGGTACTCTGCACTTTGCTCGCTCTCTCGCGCTCTCTCTCTCTCGACCTCTCGATGGCTCTCTCGCTCGCTCGTTCTCTCTCGCGCTCGCTCGTTCGCTCGTTCTCTCTCGCGCTCTCTCGCTCGCTCGCTCTCTCGATGGCTCTCTCGCTCGCTCGTTCTATCTCGCGCTCGCTCTCTCTCGCGCTCTCTCGAGCTCTCGACCTCTCGATGGCTCTCTCGCTCGCTCGCTCTCGCGGTCTCTCTCTCGCGCTCTCGCTCGCTCTCTCGCTCGCTTTCTCTCACGCGCTCGCTCGATCGCTCTCTCTCTCGACCTCTCTTGCTCTCTCGCTCGCACTCGCTCGCTCTCTCTCTCCTCGCTCTCGCGTGCCGGCCGGCCCTCTTGCCTACCATACATCATCCGCCTGGCAAGCGGTAATTCCACTGTGTGCGCTTGCGTGTGCACACGCAGTGCCAAACGTGTGTGCAGTACCGTTTTTTTTGTTGCTGCTGCAAGATTATATTTGGTATAATTTTTTTAAACCTTTTTATTTCTAAAAGTGTTTATATTCTTATTCCGCTGCGGGCATTTTCTCATTTGTGGTCTCATTTTTCTTTTCTTTTCCAAGGCTTTGCATCATTTCGGTGCATTTAAGATTTTGTACAGCGTACGACCCAAAGACAAAGATTCCACCCCTCGTGTAACCTTCACAGACTGTTGGGGCAAGTGCAGTTAGCGAGCAGCACCTATATGATGTGCAGCACAACACACGACGGGGTGGGTGGCCAGCACCACGCCCGACCGCCTTTGTCTCCCCAGTGGCGATGTTTTACACGCCGCACTAGGTGCTTGCCTGAGGTTGAGTTGACCTGGTGGGAGGCCCAGGACCGGTTCAGATAATCGTCGCTGTGAGCCGGGAATCGAACTCAGGTTGCCGGGGTTTTCGCACCGTTGCGGGCTCAACGCAGATGCCATCTCGTCGGAACCGTGCTCTTGACGTTTCGATTTGGCTCTGGCTCTCGTAACGATCATTGTTTTTCGAGAATCGTTAGAAAAAAATGGGGGGGGGGGGGGGGCGAGTGGGTGGTTTGTACACAGCCGCTTCGAAACATTTCCGTCCGCGAATTAACAACGGCGCGTTTGTCGTCGTTTTCATTGTCGTCGTCGTCGCCATTTGCCGCCGCAGGTTTTCTGATCTACTTCTTCTACGGACTGAAGCACAGCAGCGAGGCCAAGAAGTACGCCCCTTCCGCGGGCAACGGCGGCCAGTCGCCGTTGCGGTCGATGCAGCCGCTCAACGCGGCCAAGGCCGATGAGGACAGCTCGGGTTGACCCCCCACCACCACCGCCGCCAATCCCCGCTGGCGGTTCGCTCGCTCACCGGCTCGCGAGTTAGCTGGTTATCGAGTTAGTTAGCTGGTTAGCGAGTTGGCTTGCCCCCCCCCCCCCCCAACCGATGGCTTGCTCCCGTCGGTGCATTCGATATGACCAGAGAGATGCGGACGGGGGCTGTGCGTCGGTACCACCTCTTTCTCCCCCCCCCCGCCCGGTGCCCCTTTCACACGCTCGTGCCACTTCCACCGTCGCTGGCCTTACGAGCCGAGCGTTTTCCTAGCGCGCAAGTTTTTTGTTTCGTTAGCGTCGCGTCCTTCTGCTGTGTCCTTTGTTTGTTTGACGCACGTGTTTCAAAAGTTTACTACACTTTGTACCGCGGCGATGCTCGCGAAGCGCGTGGAAACGACTTGCGACCCTTTCACGACGCCGTTGTCCCGTTACCGTAATTATTGTCTTTTTTTGGGGGGGGGACTTAGGATGGCTCAACGCACGTGTACACCCAATGCACGCATTAGGACGCCTCCACTTAACCAGTCCTTGGCGACGTTGAAAGACGGTCGTCGATAAAAATGTCCGCACCACTTCCGTGCACATTTCGAGAGCTGTCGGCACCTGACGACGATGTTGAATCTCCCGTGACAAAAAATAACAACGGAAACCGATTTCTTGGTTCTTTCGGTAAAGTCACGTAGATAGAAAATAAAATAAAAATATTTTTTTTTATAAATTGAAAAATAAATGAAAATGTAAATTATTTGTATTTTAATTTATTTTTAATTTGTATTATTTTAATTCATTTTTAAATTTTATTTTTTATTTTCTATCTACGTGACTTTACCGAAAAGAACCAATAATATTAATTCCTGCAGTCACGAAAGTTGAAAGTCAAAATTTTACGGAAACCAAACGAAGAACATTGCTGCGTCACTCTCGCCAAAGAAGCATTTCCTTCCGGGGGGCCAGTTTGACCCGGACCCTCAAATCGACGTCCGTCTCTCTCTCGCTTCTCAAGACTTCACATTCCCACTTGACGCGCGTAGCCTGCCTGCCTGCGCTTCCTCGCCGCCGCAATGAGGGGGGGCGGCGAGGGGGGGGGGGGGATAGCCCTGATCCCGACGATTACAAAGGGGATCTCTGCACCCGCGCACCGCACGAGAGATGATTCCGAGCTTCCGTCGCGCTCCGGAATAGCCTGGTTCGCTCGCTCGCTCGCTCGGAAACGACCTCGGGCTGCCGGGGAGCCATTACGCAGCCTTGACGCTCTGCGCACAGCTTCCGTGGTGCCTAGGAGATGTTGACTACCTCGCATGGTATACAGGAGGGCGCTGGGTTCGAGCCCGACACCTCTGACGCCTGCGGTATATTTAGAGTTTGCGTGTCTCTCTCCACCGTGGCCGCGCGTATTTTTCTCCGGGTCCTCTGTTTTTTTTTTTCCTCCCCCCCCCCCCCCCACATTTAGAATCGGCGTCACGCGTTTACAGTATTTGGTGTTTCGCTGATATGCTTTTCCACGTGAATAAGCCACTTTTGTTGAGTTGATGCTTGTGGCCAGGCCGCTTCTGAAAAAAAGAGCTACATCGCTCGGTAGTAAAAATAAAAAAAAATAGTTTATTAGTTTTTGTACTCGTCATCCTAGGATCATGGAGGTGTGGCGGTGGCGGGAGGGGGGGGACAAGCAGTGGCGAAGGGAAAAAAACAAATACCTTGCATGAAGTCTAGGGTTAGCGTGCGACGCATCAGAGCAGAAACCGAATAAGCGGATGTCTCCGGCCGAACCGTTTGACTCATCGGTGAATGAAAACGCAGCAACCGGTATTTTGTTCCGTTCGTCCGCTTGGCCCGTCGTCTTTTTCGTCGCCGAGAAAAAGTCCTCGCGAATTTTTCCTTCGACGTGCACTCACGGCATTCTAATCCCCCTCTTGCCGAGTCCCACCATTCCTGGGGTTGTCCTCTGCCCCCTACACAGCGAGGTGGACTCTTCATTATCCTCGGCCTCCACAAACGCCCACACTTTTCTCTCTCGTCACTCGGAGCGCAAGTAGTCGCGTTGTATTTTTTCGATTTAAAGCTTTCGTGACTGCAGGGATTCGTATTATTGGTTCTTTCGGTAAAGTCGCGTAGAAGGGAAATAATAAAATAATAAAAATAAAACCTAATATAAAAAAATTCTCACGACGTTTCGGCCACAATGCAAGCAGCCATCCTCGGGTGAAGATTTTTTTTATTTCTTTTTTATTATATTCTGTTTTATTTTTATCATTTTATTATTTCCCTTCTACGTGACTTTACCGAAAGAACCAAGAATGTAGTCGCGTTGTGCACAAACGTGCACGCGTGGAAAGGCTAAATACGCACGCGCTTTTAGGCACCCAAAGGCAGAGATCCCCCGTGTAGCCTCGGCAAACTGTTGGGGCAAGTAGTGTTAGCGAGCACCTGCTCGCAGACGAGGTGGAGATGGTGACACTGGCATTCCAAGCGACACAAAAGTGCGTGGCACCAAATTCACAACCTACCCGCCTGTATCTCGACAATCGGCAGTGGGGCGTACTTTATATCTGCTGCAGACAATCCATGATGGGGGGGGGGTTCTGGATTGGTTCGTAGACATCGCTGAGCTTTTGTGACGACATTGAACGCATTTTCTAGAAATGCGACCTGCGCATTAGCCAAAAATGCGTTCCGTTCTCGAACAACGTTAATACAATCCTTACCCAGCGTCCGAATATATTACAACTTTGCTGAATGCTTGCTTTTTTTACATCTACCAACTGCACACGGCGTGTGTGTTTTCTTTCATTTTAATCACTCGAGTGCCATTTCACGCCGGACTTTGTGTTCGGTATGAATGTTAGAAAAACTAATTAAGAAATATACAACTCTACCCAAGGTCGGATCAAGGCGCGGGGGGGGGGGGGGGGGTTCAGGGGCTGCATCTCCCTGTCAGCTGGAGGGCCTTCAGAGATTAAGTGAAAAGTTAATTTCACTTGAGAATGCAGAATTTTATTTGTTGTTAGCCTTGTAAAAAAATACATTTTATTTTTCTTTTAACTTTAGTTTTCCTTTTAAAAATGTTACGGGGGGGGGGGGGGGGCGTCCTCACAGTATCTATAGCCCAGGGGCCTACAAAATGTTAATCCAGGCCCTGGGTCTACCACTGCTAGACTAGCCGACACGTTTGCACTTTTAGGATAAAACCCAGGGAAAAAAAAATTTGGGTTTCGGTTTTTTCCCAAAAGTAAGACGTCCCAAGGAATGACGCCACTTAACCATTTCTCATTCTGATGACGTACGTGCGTGTACGTCATCGGAATGTGTATGTCATGGGAATGTGTACATCATCGGAATGGAATCGAAAGTAGAAGGCCATGCAGGAGGGGGACGTGTGGCACAGATTGGCGCCAGCTATCGCAGCATGCAGCGATCGTGTTGCTGCCATTCTCTGCGGTGAGTAACAATGTCTTTAAAAAAAAATTAACGCGTAAAAACAAAGTTTTTCACTATAAATCCTTTATATGCGTGGCGGCTAGAGTCCTCTCGTCGTCTGGCTTGAGATGGCTGCCACCTATGGGTCAGATGATTGCCTGCCACCATTAAGCAATTGGTAATTAAATATAATATATTTTTTCCTAAAAAGTGTAAAATTTTGGAAAAAACTTTTCACGAACATTAATTGTCTCGCACAACGAGTCTGTGTGCAAAATGTCAGCTCGATTGGATCACGGGAAGTGGGTTTAAAAACGACTGAAAGATTTGCACGGTCGTAAGCGCGCAAGCAAGCAAGCAAGTGAACTTAATATAAAGGATTTAAAAACAACGGCGATACTACGCCTCTCCAAATAAAATCACGTGGACACCCGCCGCCCATCCACCCACCCTGCAACTTGCAGCGACGTCTCGGAACGTGAAAGGGTTACACTGCATCGGGTCAGCGATGTTCCTGCCGCCAGGTCCGCGTCTCGCGACAATGCGAGCGAGACACGCTTGTGGGCACGATGGGCACGCACTTTCATGATCGCACGACGTAGGCAGTCCGTAACCTCCCCCCCCCCCCCTCCCAAATATCTTACATTGTTCTTAAAACGTTGTCCTTAAAACGTACAAAATCCAAATCTAATTTCAGGCCCTTTCTGATTTAGAGATACAAACAAATGGCACATCGGTCACGCTGGTTTTACTCGACGCTTTCTGATCGTTTTATTTCAAAAAGAAATCGCGTTCGGAACCGTAGCCACACTATCCGTGACCTTTCAAATCTGGCGACGATTTCCAGGGTGGGTGACAGCTCCCGGCTCTCTCTCGTGCTCTCTGGTCATGTTCGAAGCGACAAGGGTAAAAAGTCAACTTTTTTTGTGTTGCCCCTAGGCGCTCTCACACACACACACCCACACATCCGATGGGCCCTACGAACCAGCGAGTTTTCACCGCATGAGTTAAGTGAATGGTTTCACAGTCGTCGCCACTTCTTGAAGTACCACTTCCGCTAGAGGGCAATAATAAAAAAAACCAAGTCGCCCTCTTCACGAACGACTCGCACTTACAATCTTACAATTGAGCCATCTTAGGTAACCAATTGTTTGAAGGAGAGATTTGTTGTTGTTTACATACTACGGAAATGTGTAAGCCTGGATGCTTTAATTTATTTTCCAAATTCTGGAACTGCCTTTGGGACTCGTACAATGTTTTTAAGTCGAATCATTGTCGCTGTCCCGCGGTAATGCAGCTATTTAAAGGCTCTGTGTAAACATATTTCATCTCATTGTACGTGAGGTTTGGTTGGCGGTGGTGCCTTGCTAATTTTTTTTTCAAACAGTTTGGCACACTTTTGATTTTATTTTTACCTTGGGACGTTTGCAGCGGTGCGATTTTATGTTTTTTTTTGTTAGGTCCGTGCGTAGAAGTAGAATTTCTACCCGTGTTTTTGCCTCTCGAGCCTCGTATTACAGGGGCCACCGAGCAAAAAAAACCCTCTTCAAAGACCGCCACAGCCTTCAAACGGCACACCAGCTGTTCTTAACCTCTCAATCGTAAACCAAAAAAAGTATATTCTTGGTTCTTTCGGTAAAGTCACGTAGAAGGGAAATAATAAAGAATAAAAATATAAAACAATAAAATTCTCACGACGTTTCGACTGCAACACAAGCAATCATCATCAGGTGTGAAATCCACAGCAAGAAAATAAAAAAAGTGGCGGTTTTTTCTTAAGAAAAAAAACGAAAATTTGAAAGAACCAAAAATATGAATCCCTGCAGTCACGAAAGCTTTAAATCTAAAAATCTAAAAAAGTATGTTAATAAATATGTAATAAAAGGACTCGAACACTTCTCTCTGTCTTCGTGTCTTTATTCAGGTTCACGTCTTTACCCACACGGCACTCTGTTATAACTCCTGTATTTGTAGCCCCCGGCTATTCACTGCTATTATAGCTTCCTCTCCCCTCTGACTCTCTGCTTCATCTACTGTAACCTCCTCCCTGCAGACTCGCTGCTACCCCTATGCAGACTCCCGCTGCTACCCCTATGTGCAGACCCTCTGGCTGTCACTGTATGCAGACCCGCTGCCCACCCTCTCTGTGCAGCCCCGCTGCTGACTGCAGCCTCCTCGCTGCTTCGGGTCGGTCACCGCTGGCCAACGGTGCCGATCCTCGCTCCCCCCGTGTTCGTGGCGATCTCGCCACACCCCGCTTCGCCCTTCGTGGCCTTCCTCTGTTCCTGGTTCCCCGTCACTCCCCTTGCTCTTCCGGTTCCCCTCCTTCTATACTCAACCCCTCTGCCCCCCACGTGACCTAACTCCTCCCCCCCTGACGGCGCCTCAGAAGGGCCGTTTACAACCGCATTACATCACCCTCCCCCCTAAAGAAAATCCAGCCGACCTCGGCTGAATTGCAACCTGAAAAGCAATGCGGGTGTAAAGGGCCAACACGCAAAAAGACACGAAGCATTGAAGAACATTATAACAATAACACAACACAACACAATCTAACGAAACGTGAGGGATTTCGAGCGAGTACGGGTAGCCGGGCCGTCCCGGACGGTCGGCGGCCCACCCGCCGAGCGGGAACGTGGAAGGGTTTTAGGGGCGACGGGCGCAAGTTCTTCCGTCGCCATTGGAGGCCCGCCACTGTCCCGCTCGCGTCCAGAAACATCCCGTACTCGCGTCCGCGGAGGGATAGGAAGAGCTGCAGGTCCCGTGGGTTCTGCGGCTCCGGTCGGCGTCCCACAAGCGGAAGGTCCTCCTCCCTGCGCTGTCACGGCCGGATTGTCTTGGATGACGCAAAATCCCGTCAGCCGGTCCCCCTTCAACCGGTCCCGGTGTAAGCGGAGGTTCGAGAACATCCACTGCCCGCGCGACAGGCTGAGGGGGGGGCTGAGCCGGTCCACACCTGTGCCGGAGGGTCTTTCTTTGGGACGTCCGCGATCGAGGCCTCCTGCTGGGGCGGCCCCGGAACCCGGGCCCAGCAGTCCCTGGCATAGTGGCCCCGACGGCCGCAGCGGAAACAGTCGACGTCGGGTCGGCGCGCAGCAGGCACCCCGTCCCGACGTGGCCGCGCCGGCGGCGGAGCCCGCAGCCCCGGCCCGCTTCGAGCCGGCCACGGAGTGGAGGCGGCCGACAGCTCCTTTGGGCCGGTCGCATCCGGCACGTACACGGCCTTTGTAGGGTCCCACCCTACGGCCCCCCCCATCGACGACAGGACCGCCCGTCCACGCCGTGACTTGTTTCCAGCGGCGGAGATTGAACTGGGCGTCCAAACACTTGGCCGCGGTCCGGGACGTGAGTTTCTCGTGACCGCACGCCGGCATAGGAATGCCCAGATCCCGGGATAACTCCAACATCTTCCCCAAGATGAGAGGTTCCAGCAGGTCAGGCTCCGTCTCCGGGTAAGCGGCCATCGCGAGTTCCAGCACGGCGCCCCTGTACGCTACAGGCGACTCCTCCGGTGCGCGTTGCCGCTGCACGAAGCGGCGATGGGCGTCATCCGGTGGCTCGTACGCGTCCGCCATTTCGTCGAACACTCCACGCAATGTTTTCTTCTTCGCAGCTTTTATAGAGCGAAAAAAACGAACAGACTCATCGTCAAGGAGAGTCGGAAGCACCTCCAGCGCCTCGGCGTCCGTCCACCTTGCCGTTCGTACCGCCGCCAAAAATCGACAAGCGAACGCACTCCAATCGCCCCCGATGGAGAACTCCTTAACAGTTGTAAGGTGACGACTGCGGCTCCTTGGCCTGCTTCCGTCCGTCACCGACTCTTCCGGCGGCAAGTTCAGCAAGGCGTCGCAACGCGGTGTCGCCAAGATGGCGGACGATCCTCGTGGCGGCCCCAAAATGGCGGCTTCCCGCCTTCCGTGGTGCGCCACGCCCAAGATGGCGTCTTCACGCCGCGTGGCCGATGGCGGCGCCATCGAAGACGACCCGGGCTCCTGCCGATCACCACCATCACCTTCCAACGCCGCCCTTGGCGTGACAAGGTCACACAACTCCGTGATGACGGTTTTTAGGGTCGCCAGTTGCTCCGCCATCCGGGTCCATCTTAAATCTTCGTCCTTCAACGCAGATGGGTCGGACGCAGCGGCAACCTCCTCCACACCCGGGCCCTCACGGATCTCTCCCTCCGCCGAAGTGAAGCCGACCTCAGGAGGAAGATCGTCGTCGTCCGATGATGAAGCCGACGCCGGAGATGGGATATTCTTCTTCCTCAGTTGTTTCGCCATGCCGTTTCACTTCTGACTCCAGTGTAATAAAAGGACTCGAACACTTCTCTCTGTCTTCGTGTCTTTATTCAGGTTCACGTCTTTACCCACACGGCACTCTGTTATAACTCCTGTATTTGTAGCCCCCGGCTATTCACTGCTATTATAGCTTCCTCTCCCCTCTGACTCTCTGCTTCATCTACTGTAACCTCCTCCCTGCAGACTCGCTGCTACCCCTATGCAGACTCCCGCTGCTACCCCTATGTGCAGACCCTCTGGCTGTCACTGTATGCAGACCCGCTGCCCACCCTCTCTGTGCAGCCCCGCTGCTGACTGCAGCCTCCTCGCTGCTTCGGGTCGGTCACCGCTGGCCAACGGTGCCGATCCTCGCTCCCCCCGTGTTCGTGGCGATCTCGCCACACCCCGCTTCGCCCTTCGTGGCCTTCCTCTGTTCCTGGTTCCCCGTCACTCCCCTTGCTCTTCCGGTTCCCCTCCTTCTATACTCAACCCCTCTGCCCCCCACGTGACCTAACTCCTCCCCCCCTGACGGCGCCTCAGAAGGGCCGTTTACAACCGCATTACAAATATATAGGGTTTGATGAAACAAAAGTAAAGGTGGACTTATGTGTCCCCGTGCTTAAATGTGCGTTTCGATGATTTACCATCTTAAACAAACAAAAGAATGTGGCCATCTCTCGCACTACCCCCAAGAAAGGGCATCTCGCGCCCGAAAGGGGGGTGGGGGGGGGGGGGTGACGCACCCCAGGTTAAGCAGAAGAAAGGAGAGCCACTGCTGTACAACAACGATCCACACCACCCCACTCCACCACCGCCAGCCCCGGATATCTCGGGAGAAGAGGGGGAAAAAAACCCACCACGGAACTAACGTTGGCATCGTAAGCGTTGCAAACAAATCTGCGTTCACGGGTGGCCGATCGTGGCGACTAAAACAAAATTCCTGCCTGACAATTCGTAAAATTTCGATTCAAAGCTTTCGTGACTGCAGGGATTCATATTCTTGGTTCTTTCGGTAAAGTCACGTAGAAGGGAAATAAAAAAATAAAACAATAAAATTCTCACGACGTTTCTATTGCAACACAAGCAATCATCATCAGGTGTGAAATACCACAGCAAGAAATTTTAATCGGGTGTGAAAACCACAGCAAGAACATTTCTAATTTTCTTGCTGTGGTTTTCACACCTGATGGTGATTGCTTGTGTTGCAATCGAAACGTCGTGATAATTTAATTGTTGTATTTTTATTTTTCTATTATTTCCCTTCTACGTGACTTTACCGAAAGAACCAAGAATATGACAATTCGTAGTTTAAAAATTATAATAGATTGCGCCAATAGGCGATGGTACTTGGTACAGCTGTGGCGAATTTGTTAGATGATTGAAACCCATGTGGGTTACCGTTCGGTCCATGGCGTTCTGGCAGATGGCGATGCCCCAGAATTGTATCACATTGGCTTTTCGTGGAATTAGCCACTGCTCCGATTTGGATGGAGACTGGCAAAATCAGTGGCGACAATTTCACAGGAAACAGTCACGCGCGTTCTAAATACAAACCACCTCGTTTCCATGACTTGGGGTGGTGGTGGTGGTTGCCATTTGGAAGGAGTGGAAAGGTCATGCAGGTCAACTCTGCGCGTAGACATTCGGTGTGGCAACAAAATTTAAAGTAGTGCACCCGCTGGTGCTGAGAGGGGAGTTTCGGGGGGGGAGGGGGGTGTGAGAGTAGCTTGGCAAGCATACGATGTTTTTTGCGCTCAATCCAAAATAAAATAATGGGTTTAAAAAAAAATGCCCATGAAGAAGATTTGGTAATTTTTATTTTATTCAACGTCTAAAATGTCGTTTTTGACAGACGGCTCTGTTTGTGTGTGGGGTGTTTTTTTTCTTTCGGGGAGGATGGTGGTGGGAAGTGTAGCCCCCCACAGTGGTTCGCCCCCCACTCAGCCATCAACTCCGACAGACAACCCGAGTTCGATGCCCGACCTTGGCTAACGTCTGGCACCCCCCCACCCCACCCGGACCAAGACGGTGCAGGGAGGAGAAGGCTGGAGGTCGGTGGGTGCGGGAGCTTGTTCCAGGAGTGACTTGGCTCATGGTTGTCATAATTTTTGAAAAAAAAAATATTTTATTGGTACAATATTGAAAACCCATTTTTGTTTATTTTACCAACAATGCCTGTGTAATAAGCTCGATCCTTGCCACAGCTTGCCTTACGGATGGGGCCGAGACCAATTCTGTTCTCACCTCTCCATGGGTGATATCATGTTCGTGATGCCAGCTGCTGGGCTGGCATCGCGGCCCATTGATTTCATTTTTTGTAATTTCCAATAAAGCGCCCAGGTGCAGGTTCTGCCCCCACCCCATCTCCCTCTGTGTGATAGATGTGGTAACACTGCACTCACACAGTACACACACTGCCTCACACAGTACACACACAGTACACACTGCACACAGTACTATAGTACACACACACTGCACACACTACACACACAGTACACACACAATACACACAGTGCACACACTACACACACAGTATATACAGTACACACACACTGCGCACAGTGCACACACACTGCGCAGTGCACACACACTACACAGTGCACACACAGTACACACAC